CTCACCTGAATTTTAGCAATGTCCTTTATATCGATAGAAGAGATATTAAAACTGAGGAGATCATCCAGATCTGAAACAGAGAGCCACTACATCGTTAGTTGTTGGTTTGTACATGAGGGGCATAATCACTTGAATTTTACCGTATTAAGTATTCAATTTAGCAAAAATGCTGTAATCCTATTGGCTGAGCTATCTCACACAATTAGATATTTGGGTAAAATTATATTAAAATAATTCGGTAATTTGCTCTCAAAGTCTATGAGTTGATCGGTTGATTCGGCGGTCAGCCTCACCAACTACTTTATTCATGTATCACCTAATAGAGGTCTCGATGTGCTGCTGCTATTATCTTCAGTTGTAAACGAATACTTCCTTATTAATTTTAGTAAGTATTAGTAAATAAATAAATTACCTTTTTGAAGTTCCTGTACCGTCCGCTGACTAATTCCGTTTTGAGAGACTGATGACCCGGCTGAAGCAGTCGCACTGGCAGTAACTGTAGGTAAGACTGAACTCTGTCTTATACTATAATCATCTGTTTTACTTGGTACAACTGAGAGAAAAAAAAGCGAAACCAAATCGTATTTGCCTAATATATTCAAGTCTTTTACTATTATTTAAGGGGTGCATATAAGCTTCTACAGCTTGTCGAGGTCAAAGTAAAACATTCTCGTATATGTTTTTAAAGATACATGTTGGAAATGATTTAATTTTGAGATTTCTTTTTGTTGGAGCAATTCATCACAGCCGTGGAAAAACAAACACATATCAAAAACGATAATTGATGATTACTTACCAGAAAGTGATGGAGTGAATTCCAGGCCAATATATTTGATTGACGCATTAGTACTTTGTGGCATGGCAGATGATGATAACGTTAAGGTTGTGGTCACTATGCCAGAGTCAGTTTCCATTGCTTTTGGTTTCGAATCTGACAAAATAAATCGAAGATGCTTTAAGTAATTTGTCAGCTTTCATGAAAATGTTAATTAGTCAAAAATCAGTATGGCATGATCATGACGTGTGCGTACCACCTCCACAACTACCATGAAAACAACAACAGTGAAATATAGACAAAATTTAAGGAGCAGATCATGACAGGAGATTATTATGTCGTACTACACCCCTTCCCACTAGGCAAGCGTTCTAAACGAGTCTCAAATCAGCCTGCACCCGAGTATTACACCTTTTAAAGTTGTTACTTGTTTTATTTAACTTGTATTCCTAAGTTTTTAACTTCAGATTGTGCATTTCTACAGCTTTCTCATTGATTCGCTTAAGGAGGCTGGCAACAGTTTCCAGCAGTTTTCTAAGGATAAGGACGAATACTACCACTGTTTAACAAGTGAAGGTGATGCTATAATAATGGTATCACACAATTTCCCAATCATGGGTAAACAAGTTGCAATCATCTATTTTATATAACAGGTTACCATAGCAACAATAAAACCTATTAAAACAGCCTTAATGTAAGCTTTAAGCACTCAAAAAAACGAGCTCGGTGACACTCATTTTTATTATTGAATTGTGTCAAACATGATAACACCCAACTTTTTACCGAGTTTAAAAGCATTCTGTAGAGTGAGTTCAGAGCTACCTTATATTTTCGACAATTTAATGTTGCTATGGCAACCTATTTTGCCACGAAATTGACACCAAAATGTTGACCAATAATTGGGCGCTTTTCTGATACCATGATTGTGGCATCAACCGATATAGAATAGTTATAATGACCCATCAAAATCGACTTGTTGGAAAATGCTGGAATCTGTTTTAAGCCACCTTAATTCCGGGTTTAAACCTTTAACTTTTCTTTGAACTTAAAAGAAACATGTGAGGCAAGTGTCGTTCAGTTTAAACTTTGTTGGCGGTAGGCGAAAGTTCCGTCGGAAGAAAATGACTAAAAAGCAGCAGATTTGGCGAGCTTTCTACCACAGAAATACGAGAAATAATTGGCAACACCACATTGACTCTGGTGAGAAGAGTCTGGTACTCTGAAAAATTTATTCAAAAAGGGTTTTAGGAAACAAAACGGCAAAAAAATCACGGGAAGATCCAAAAGCCGCCTTAATCACGTTCAGAAAGTGAAAAAGAGATTGTCGGAACTGTTTTGCGTAAATTCTTGGCTAATTTGAAATGCACGAAGTATATAATTTTCAGCAACACTATTACTTCGGATCTTTCCATATTTCTCTTAGTTGCAATTTTCCAAAATATAGACGACTTTAGAAGAGTTTTTGCAAGGAATATTTCAGAACAAAAAACTCGTCTTTCTTCTCGCTTCCCACACGTTCATGTCATTCAATGCAAAAAGTTAAATCGCGCCACAGATTTTGGCGCCTTTTCATACCATCACATCGTTAAAACCAAATTGAAATGTCCCCACTATCAGTCGGTTGAAGAATATAGTATTTAGACAATTACTCCATAATNCTATTAAAACAGCCTTAATTTAAGCTTTAAGCACTTATAACTCAAAAACGAGCTCGGTGACACTCATTTTGATTATTGAATTGTGTTAAACATGATAACATCCAACTTTTTACCGAGTTTAAAGGCATTCTGTAGAGTGAGTTCAGAGCTACCTTAAATTCTCGACAATTTAATGTTGCTATGGGAACCTATTTTGCCACGAAATTGACACCAAAATGTTAACCAATAATTGGGCGCTCTTCTGATACCACGATTGTGGCATCAACCGATACAGAATAGTTATAATGACCCATCAAAATCGACTTGTTGGAAAATGCTGGAATCTGTTTTGAGCCACCTTAATTCCGGGTTAAACCTTTAACTTTTCTTTAAACTTAAAAGAAACATGTGAGGCAAGTGTCTTTCAGTTTAAAATTTGTTGGCGGTAGGCGGAAGTTCCGTCGAAAGAAAATGACTAAAAAGTAGCAGATTTGGCGAGCTTTCTACCACAGAAATACAAGAAATAATTGGCAACACCACATTGACTCTGGTGAGAAGAGTCTGGTACTCTGAAAAATTTATTCAAAAAGGGTTTTAGGAAACAAAACGGCAAAAAAATCACGGGAAGATCCAAAAGCCGCCTTAATCACGTTCAGAAAGTGAAAAAGAGATTGTCGGAACTGTTTTGCGTAAATTCTTGGCTAATTTGAAATGCACGAAGTATATAATTTTCAGCAACACTATTACTTCGGATCTTTCCATATTTCTCTTAGTTGCAATTTTCCAAAATATAGACGACTTTAGAAGAGTTTTTGCAAGGAATATTTCAGAACAAAAAACTCGTCTTTCTTCTCGCTTCCCACACGTTCATGTCATTCAATGCAAAAAGTTAAATCGCGCCACAGATTTTGGCGCCTTTTCATACCATCACATCGTTAAAACCAAATTGAAATGTCCCCACTATCAGTCGGTTGAAGAATATAGTATTTAGACAATTACTCCATAATATTCGTGCCTCGTTTGT